AAAAAAAAAAAAAATTTAAAAAATATAAAACATAAGAGTTCGAATTTAACTGAGAAACATATTTTTCTCTCACATCTTTTTTAATTAACTAATAAATTTTAGAAACTTGATTCCCAAGAGATGGTGATGTTCGTGCAATATTGTCTCACTAAAATATGGTACTTATAGAGCACATAAAGTTTTAAAAGCTAGGACCTTAGAGCCAGGCTCGCCTTAATGATGCTTCCAAATCCTAATGTTATCACGCTATCCTTTATTGAATCATTCTTAAAATCTTGTGTCTACCTTAATGTGCATGACGAGTTATGAGATTGGCACACTTCTGAGCCTTGAAACAGCGTCATAATTCTGAAGCTACTCAAGATTCTTAATGTTGTAGTCAATTTGTATTGCAAATATCTGTTAGATTTGATCCAAACTCCAAGAGAAAAATTATCTAAAAACTGAAGCATACGTGAGTACAAGCGGATATAATCCTTAATGCAATGTCTTTGACACTTAAGTTAGTATGTTTCTTAGGCCAAGGATAAGAGAATAGGTAGTGGATACCTTATAATTAGTAGTATAGTAGCATATTATGAGTTTAATTATAGGTAGTCAACAATTTTAAGTCAATTGGAAAAGAAGAGATGTATCTCTCTCTTCTTACAAATTAGTAATAGAATTTTTGGTATTTTTTAGTCATAATCAAATTTCAAGACAAACATAACAAATTTACATTATAACTTGATCCTTATCCTTCAAAAGAATGCATCTGAAGCTTCGTAGACTACTCATTATTAAGACCTTCGTGACAAATGTAATATTAAGTATAATGTTTTCTATGCTATATTTTAAAATATATAAAAATATTAATTTAAATCCTACTTACATATCATTAAAAAGGGATGGAAGTAAATTATGTCACATTAGCACTTTCTCATAATAACTCTATCAAGAGATTATAATTTAGAGACACGTATTTGTGTTATAACAGTATACATGTTAATTCCCAATTTTACTTTTTTATATACACATATATAGATTCAAGTTCAACACTAAATCTCTATCACAAACACTTGTATCGTGTTAAAGTTAATTTCTCACTCAAATTCACATTCATTTGAATTTTAATTTCATATTAATTTTGGTATGTGTAATTTTTTCTTTATTTAATCAGTTATTAACTTAGTATAATGCAACATTATAAGCTAATCGTTTGGGAAAATATAAAAATTTAATATCGTTTATAGTTTCGTATGCACGTAAACACACACACATGTATGTATCAACTCTCAATATTAATATTGTATTGTATTGTATTCTAGGGGTATTAGAAAAATCAATTGATACCACTCCTAGTTACTTGTATGATCGCTACTATTTTTCTTAATGACAATGTAGATTTCAGTTTCAAAATATCTCTTTTTTTTTTTTCAATATATATATATGTATATACATTCTCTAGCAATGTTTAAAAAATAAATAAAAGTAGA